GTTCTCGCCTTTTCTGCTTCCCGACGCGCCAAGACGGCCCAAAATGCCACCAAGATCGGCACAAGAGGCTTCCAAAAGGCTTCCAAGACGGTCCCAAAACGACCCAAGAGGGCCCCAAGACGGCCTCAGAAGCCTCCCAGACGGCCTCAGATACTTTCCGGTGCCCACACGGGAGCCCGAACGAACATTTCGAGCCCTCGGCCCCGAGAAGCTCTAAGGTGGCCCCAAGAGGCCCCCAAGAGGCCGCCACGAGGCCCCAAAAGGCCCCCAAGAGGCTCCCAGGAAGCCCGAAGGGACCCCCAAGAGGCTCCCAAGAGGCCCCCAAGATGCTCCCAGAGGCCCGAAACGACCGCGCTCCAACGAGGCCCCACGAAGCATCGCTGAAGACTCTGCCCCACATCAGCGTCGTCGTCGCCGCCGACGCCGCCGTCGTGGTCGTCGTTCCCCTTCATGGTCGGCGGCACCGGCCGCAAGGCCTTCCCCAATAACTTGTTGTTTCCGGGCAACCGTTTTTGGAGAGGAAGTGAACCGACCACAATCACTGCAAAACAATAGTGGTCCATCCTGCTCAGCGGATAAGGTAGGGGTAGCCTGTGCAACCCTGCTTCAAGATGGTGGACAAACGGGAGTTGGAGAGGCAGAGGCCATCAGCTAAGGTACACTCGCGCCCTCAGCCAACGCCAGACGTTGTGCCTTATGCCGAGCACCCTTACTAAGCAGCGTGCGAATCCTAGTGCGCAGCTCAACTAAGCTGGATTCTGTGCTTCGTAAGTCGTGGATCTGACGCATTAACCGAAGCCTATTGTCAGCAATCGCCATGCCCCCATCATCCCCTGCCTGCCTGCACCGGTAAAGTTGTAATTGCATTCGGAGAATGTCGTGTGCCCTGCGACAACCACTGGCGTCAAGAAGTCGGGACTTCGATTGCCAACCTTTCGTCTTGGTCAACCGTTCACGAGTGCTCTCATGGTTAGACCTCGTTAATCTCAGAACGACTTCTGCAGCCTCTCTTTTCACAAGTAATCCAGAATCAAGCAGGCACCTCAAAATCTGAAAGCTAGCAGATGTCCGAGTGACTCTCCAAAGATATGCATCACCACTTTTGCGAACTGTTGTTGGTAAGTCTGGGCACTCTCGTTGAATAAACCGTCGGATTGCATGCAACACCTCGACATGTTTTTGCCACATCGACAGAGAAACTTGCACGTACACCGGGGATAAGTGGATACAGCCTTCAGCATCAAAGAAGCCTGCAAGGTACGACCAACCACTGATACTTTCCATGTGCTGAGTCGACTGCTTCAAGCTGCGAAGTCGCTTTGCAAGCGTGGCCCTTTCATCGCGGCAATGCGGCTTCTCGCCAGCAATGATCTGCAGCTGCTGTTTCTTGATTGACTCCATACTCGCCAAAATCCCTGCAGCTACTCGAGCATTGTGCCCGTGGATTCTCCAAATGCAACATCTCTGCTTGTAGTCAGCACAACTGCGAATGCTCCCACCGAAAAGATCGCGGAACAATAACAAGACAGATGCACCATCATATAATTGAGCTATGCTTAAGGTCGCACCGCTGAGATCAGAGTTTGAGGACGCACAACCGTCACCGTCAAAGAAACCGACACAATACTCAAGCTCGTGTCGTGCTGGGGCCCTGTAACTGGATTTCCCCCGACTGGGCAACAGTGGCAATTCATACACCTTTCCGTCTACCTTGAAACATGACTTCTTCGGCAAAACCAGACGATCAAAATATGTTGCCAAACGGTCACGTCGCCGTCGCAAGCGAGCCAAAGTCGCAATGGCGCCTTCAACCTCCAGGACATCCCGCGCCCAAACAGGCAGATCGCTCACTACCGCAAACCGTCGGCGGCATATCAATCTGTGCCGAATGCAAGAAATCATCGTCGACGACGCTCGCCGACGGACCCTAACACTATCAGAATGATATCTTGAGCGTTGGGTCAACACGGCTTCAACCAAAATGGCCACGGCCAAATGTTTCCCGGAGATGCAGGACACAGAAAGGACTAAAGAGAAGCCGGGCCAATAACCCGGAGAAGCAATTAAGGAACCCCCCGGCGTTATCATTAGCACCGCGCCGTAATTAAATAATTATTTGGGGGGGTTTTCGCCGAGCGATATTATTAGCACCGCGCAAATGGAAGGAAAATAAATAATTCCAGCGCCCCGCCTCGGGTGGCATCCCAATTAGAATTGTAATGAGAATAAAAATACGAATACGAATAAGGAAAAGCTGAGAAAAGCTAAGGAAAAGCTTAGAAAAGCTAAGAAAGTGTACCCCCTCCTGGTGCCAGGATAACGCTTCCGGGTGCCGGAAGCGTTATCCTTTCACTGGAGAGGGGGGGGGGGGGGGTCCTTAATCGCTTACTCGGGTTAGACTTGCTGGGACGATGTCCCCGCGACCATCCTGGCGCTCCTCTCTCCGGGGCGACAGTGAAAATTAATCAACAAGATAACCCAAATTCAAGAAACCCAACCCTGAAATCAGCCGAAGTTTCTCAGCCCAAGGTTGGATTTCTTGCACTTCGGCTGGGAAGAAAGAAACCTGGGGCGGGGGAGCTGGGCAGGAGTCCGGCCAACCATCCCCCCACCTCCCGCATCGGATCACGAGAACCTTGGACGTTGGGTTTTTCTGGTTATCTCACATGTCTGCAAATTCCTTTAGTAGTCTCACAAGTGTCGTGAACCAATCAAGTCCAACACGGGAACCAACAATCCTTGTGACTCTCTCAAAAAACCAAAAGGCTTCGCGAGAGGGAAATGGCCCCTCCTCCTCCATCCCTGTCTGTCACTCTTTCTTTTTTTTTTGTTTCTCTGTCTCTCTCCCTCTCTCTCTCTCTCTCTCTCTCTCTCTTTCGTCTTCAGACAATAAGAATTAATACAAATCGGTAGGAATCAATAGGAATCAAAAGGAATATGTAGGAATCAATAGGAAACAACATGAGTCAATAGGAATCACTAGAAATCAAAGGGGACCAATAAGAACGACTAGGAAATCGGAACCAGGAGGAGCCAATAGTAACCAATAAGAATCACTAGAAACCAATAGGAATCAATAATGATCACGTGAAATCAATATGCAACAATCCGGATCGATAGGAATCAAGAATCATCATTCGGAATCAGCAGGATCAACGAGAACCAATAGGAATCAAACCAATCCACCCAAACAGGAACATTATCATCGCTGTGACTCTCTCCAAAAAACCAGAGCACCGCTGTCGACAAGAAAACTCGGTAGTCAAGGAGAAGAAACAACATGAGGATGTAGGTACATGTGGGGTGCACCATACATGCATAGACACGAGTACGTGTTCATTCATTCATATATATATATATACACATATAGCTGTATACATGTATGCGTGTATGTATATGTGTAAGTAAATGTAAACATGTGTACACAAACAAACAGATACATGTCAGCATCAAATGAGAAAGAGAGAGAGAGAGTGAGAGACGAAGCGAGAAAGAGAGACAGAGAGAGAGAGAGAAAGAGACCAAGAAAGCAAAACAGACAACACACACACACAAAGCAGCGAGGCGTGCGGGGCAGCCGCAGCTCCTGGCGGCGTCGAGCACCCAGACGTCGCCCAGCGCCTCCCCGGAGGGCGCGGCGCCTCCGCAGAGCACCACGGCCTGGGGCTGGCAGAAAATGGCTACGACGGCTCCGCCCGCGCTGATCCGGAGGCGCTCCAGGCACTCCTCCTCCTCCTCGTCCTCCTCCGCATCCTTCCTCTCGCCTCCTCCTCCTCATCATCATTTCCGTCCTACTCCTCCTCGTCATCCATCCTCCTCCTCCCTCCTCCTCCACTCCTCCCTTGTTCTTCTCCGTGCTACTCCTCCGAGACAACATGACTACTCCGCCCTCTACCTCATCCTGCTCCTCCTCCTCCTCCATCCTCTCCTCCGTCTCCTATCACCATAAGCCTCTCCTCTATCCACCTCCTCTTTCTCTCACTTCTCCCTTTTCATTTCCTTCCGCCGCCTAATCCTACTCCAGAGTCCATTAATTCGCCTCCTCCTACTCCTTACTCCTCTTAACTCCTCCCCTTCCTACTCCTCCCTCCTTCATTTTCAGCTCCTCACTGCTCCTCTCCTGCTCCTGCTGCTGCTGCTCCTCCTCCTCCTCCTCCTCCTGCCTCCCCCTCCTCCTTCCTTCCCTCCTCCCGCTTCCTACCTGTATCCTCGTACGTCATCCTCCTCCTCCTCGTCACACACCCTCCTTTTTCCGCCTAACCTCCTCCTCATCCCCTCCTCCTCCTGCCTCCCTACCTCCCTTCTCCGCCGCCTTGAGAAGGCTTCCGCCTCTTTCTATTCCTCATCTCACCCTCCTACTTCTCTGCTCCTCCTCATCATCCTCCTCCTCCTCCTCCCTCCCCCCCTCCAACTCCTCCTCCTCCTCCACCCTTCTCCTCCTCTTCCTCCCTCCTCCGCCTACTATTATTAGGATTAGTATTATTATCATTATTATTAATAATATTGTTGTTATTATTATTATTTGTATTAGTATTATTAGTAGTATTAGTATCATCATCATCATCATTATTATTATTATTATTATTGTTGTTATTATTAGTATTATTATTGTTGTTATTATTATTTTTAGTATGAGCATTATGGTTAACATTATTATTATTGTTATGCTTATGAATATGAGTATGCTTATTATTCTTATTATTATGAGTTCTATGATTATTATTGTCGAGCCGAGGCGACTCGAGCGAAGTTCTGAGTCAACCTCTCCTTCCTCCCTTGCTGCCGCTTCCGCGGCTATGTGGGATCGAGGAGGGGGCCCCCTCTTTTGTGCAGAGAGCGCGGCAGACACGCTCGCCGGCACGGGCCGGCGCCAGATGCTCGACGGACGAGCCCAGCACAACACATCGTGCACAACACATCGTCGACGTTAATCACGACATTGGTATAGCGGAGCTAGATCCACGGACGAGTTCTGGCATTCCTGAAGGGACCAGAACATCATGGAGCGGGACGACAAGAAAGCCAAGGATGCCATCCCAGAATGGGACGGCAACCCTGGGCGGTGGAGACACTTCGAGACGGCTGTGAAGTGGTTCCCTCGCACGCTCAAGCGGCAGGAGAGGGACCTGGCGGCGAACCGGATCATTGGACGCATGCTGCAGAGCAAGACGATAGCGATCAGGACGTTTGCGACCACTCTGGATCCGGACCGATATGAGAATCCGAATGGCCACCTCCTCCTCTTGGACGACCTGAGGAGCAGCCCGCTAGGGAAGCTTCCGATCCCGGACGCAGCCCACAAGATCAAGCATTACTACAAGGATTTCAAGCGGCGCAAGGGCGAGACGGTGGGCGCGCTCTTGATCCGGGAGCAGGACTGCTACTCGGAGATGGTCCAGGCGCTGGAGCGCCTCCTCGAGGAGATGGGCGACAATGACAAGTTCAAGCAGTGCCAGGAGTGCTTCGGCTACTTCGAGCGAGGACAAGGCGCTGCTGGACGTGGACAATGGTACTGCCAGAAGTGCTGGGACACCTAAGACGGCAACCCCGACACCCCGGCGACGGCAGCAGATGCCGCCCCTGCCGAGGAAGCAGAAGAAGCAGATGAATATGAACGACACTCGACGACGTCTCGCTCGCAGGGCTCTCGAACATATCGTTTTCACAGACAAGAATCCATGGCAAGCAAGCTCAAGGTTTCGGAGGCGATGGCAGTGGGCTCTACTTTCTTCGGCCACGCCTCCGGAGTCCTGAAGGTCCTCCGCGGCTTCTTCCTGCTCGAGGCGATGGACTTCACCGAGAAGGAGAAGCAGGACGTCCGCGTGGTCACGCAGAACCGCTTGGACTTCGACGCGATCTCCAAGGCCTTGAAGGAGCGCTGGGAGGACAAGGCGCTGGTGCAGCGGGACTTCGGACCGAGGGCTATGCCTCGGTACGGCCCGGAGGCGGGCCAGCAGTCGGCCCTCGCCGCCGAGTTTGATGATGTACACGGGCCTGATTGGTACGATGGCTACGCGGCGGCGGTCCAGGCGTGGGAGAACGAAGGGTACGACCACCACGAGGACGAGGACGACTACGATATCGAGGAGGAGCCGCAGCTAGCCCCAGAGCCGGAAGGATCCGAGGCCGTGGATGAGGATCTCAACCACCTCAATGAGGAGCTCGAGGCGGCCCAGGCGATGGCGGCAGAGGCGTCACGCACTCTAGTTCAAGCCAGACAAGCAGTGGCCGCCGCACATAAGGATCGAGGATTTGGCAAGCCACCATCGGGTCCAGGAGGGAAGAGCCGCCTTCCTCCGTCGTGGCCGCACCAGCAGCCCTCGAGACCGCCGTTCACGGGTCGAGGCCCGAAGGGCGGCAAGGGCGGCAAGTACCGCGACAGGGACCGCGACCAGAAGGGCAAGAATGCGAACTACCTGGAGTTTCACACGATCACGCACGGGTTCGACGAGCTCCAGGGTATGTACCAGGCAGAGCAGAACGACAGCGGCCTCGCCCCTTCTGAGGCCATGGTTGATTGCGGGGCTTCCGCGTCCGCCGGAGGCGAGCGCGCAGTCCAGGCTCTGGTTGCCGCCGTTGCGGCCGCGAACCCCCAGGCCAGGATCGAGATCAACCAAAATGAAAGACCGTGGTTTCGTTTCGGAGACAATAAGTGGGGCAAGGCACTGTATAAGGTTTCGGTCGAGTTCGAGCCGGGCTTCGTTTTGGGCATCTTCGCTCTCAGTCCTGGTGTACCTCTCGTTTTGTTGGGAATGACTGCTCTGGAGTCGTGGCCGGCAATCGTGAATTTCCGAACCGGGGAGGCGGTGATCAGGGGCCAACTGGTGCAGCTTCGCAAGACCCCAGTCAAGGGCCATTGCATCCTCGATCTGGTGAAGCACGTTTCCGAGATCTTAAACCCGACCGAGCAAAACACCGAGGGTCTTGCAAAGGCGTTTCAGAGATGGTCTATGGCGAAGACAACATCACCACCATCAGCATCATCTCAGACAAGAACGACACCATCAGCATCATCTCGGACAAGAACGACATCATCAGCATCATCTCAAACAAGAACGACATTATCAGCATCATCTCAGATAAGAACGACACCATCATCAGTACATGCAGCTATGACGACAACACCGCCAGTGATAACAGCAACATCACCTCCATCAACAATAACAGGAAGAGCAGCTCCATCATGGTCATCTCCTCCTCCGCCGTCTTTTGGCTCTAGAACTCGCTCAGAGCGACTTCCGACAATCCGCAAGCCGGCGTTTCAGCCAGCACGTTTTCATGGAAAAAATAAAGGGGGAAAAAAACAAACCCAATAACCCCCCCAGAATATAAGGCCTAATGAACGCACCCCGCCCATGGGTCACACTATGCAAACAGATCCCCAACAGTGGATACGAATCGTGACTGGGCAATTTCCGATGTCAGCCATCGTTATTAGGCTGATGAGAGTTTAGATACGAGAGTTTCAAGGCAGAAGGTTAGGAAGTGGTTTCCTGACCCCCTCTGCCTCAGGGCATCCCGCAGCAACCCCACCAGTCTTGACATGGAAGGACGAATGGTACCTGTCGACATAGTTCTTTTTCGGATGCCGAAAGAAGGAGGAAGGGCGCGAGGACGGTAAATGTCACCTTCGGCGGCCAGCGAGCTCCGGACTAGACCCAGGCTCAAGCGGGAGTATCGTTTTTTATTTACTTTTCAACGGCCAGAAGATGGAGTACGTCACCTCGGAGGGCAAGGTCAAGGAGAGAGATCCGGGCAGCACGCACCAGGGTCGCAAGAAGGAGAAGCAGATGGAGCTGGACCCGGCGTTCGCGCTGCAGGCGGACCCCCGCGACCCGAGGACCACACGGGGACCGTGCGGCAAGATGCATCGCAAGTACTTCACGGTCAACAACCAGTGGGGCCAGACCAGGACATGCTATCGGTGCGGGCTGAGGCTGCTCTACATCCCGACGACGAAGGCGCCGATGACGAACCTTAGCATGCAGCATCCGAAGTTGGTGGAGTCCGGCCTGGAGTTGGTGCGGCACTGCAACCTGTGGGAGACGGCCAATCACGAGCAGGTGACCGCGATGATCAACATCGCCACCTCCCTCCGGAGGCTTCCCGGGACCGAGATCCGCCACGCGCCGGACGCGCTGCTGGAGATGCTGGGGGCAGCGAACCCCAGGCGCAAGGCCCAGATGGCGGAACCAATACCCGGGCAGGTCTGAGCCGGGTGCCGAGGCAGCTTCTGGCTGCCGGACGCCGGAGGTCGCTACTCGCAGGACTGGCCTTGGTCATGACCGTGGGCACGATCACCGAGGCGGTGGAGATCTGCTGCCATCCCAACAGCATGCTGACCGACGAGTGCACCAAGATCGGCCTCAGCATGGAGAGGATCAGCATCGAGAACGGTTACAACCTCAGCACGAAGGCGGGGTTCGAGGCTGCTGGCAAGAAGCTGGACGAGGTGATGCCGAAGCGGGCTTGGATATCGCTACCATGCACGCTATGGACTTCGCTCACGAATTTCAACTACAAGACCCCAGAGGCACGTGCACGCCTAGAGAAAGACCGACTTCGAGACCGACGACGTGTGAAGTATGGAGTTCTCCTGTTGCTAAAGATTGTTGACAACGGAGGCGAGGTCTACTTCGAGTGGCCCCACAGGTGCCAAGGCTGGAAGATTCCCGAGCTCAATTTTCTTCGTATGGAGTTGAGGCGTCGGGGCCGACACGTCTTCGAGGATTGGATCGACGGGTGCATGTACGGCCTCAGGGACTACAACACCAACGAGCTCGTCGAAAAGGGCTGGAGGATCCTGACCACCGACCCGGAGTTCTCCAAGGTCGCGACCGTGTGTGACCATTCACACGGTCACCGAGTCATCAACGGGAAGCAGCACACCGCAGCCACCGCCTACTACCCGCAGGCGATGTGCAAGGCGATCGCCCGGCTGTGGCATGCTCAACTCCGGACACCGATCGACCTCAACATGGCCCTGGAGAACCCTGCTGTCCTAGACCTCGAGAATACCTACCTGATGGAGCGGGACACCGGGAGCATCTACGTCGCTGAGCCCACGGATCTCGAGAGGGAGCAGGTGCGCGCGATGTTGAGCAGGATCCACAAGGCTGCAGGCCACCCAGGGAACGAGCACTTGGCGTACTGGTGCAAGAAGCGGCAGTGTCCACGCTGGATCATCGAAGAAGCGATCAACCTTCGCTGCGAGGCGTGCGACCTGGTCAAGCATGGCCTCTCCCACAAGGTCAAGGCGAGCCTCGACATCCCCATGGCACCTTGGCAGGCAGCCGTCATGGACGTTTCTGACCTGACGTTCCCGGACTTGAATGTGAAGGCCCAGTTTCTCCTCATCGCAGAGGTCGCCACCGGCCTGATGTGCGGGGACATCACTGCGAAGATCGGCCTCAAGGACAAGGGCACCGATTCGTCAGCTACGCTGTTCACGACGTTTGCCAGAGCCTACCTTCAACATTATCCAAAGCCAAGGTGGGTTTTCGTCGATCCTCAGACCTCTTTTGTGGGCGGCGAGTTTAAAGACAACTGCCAGTTGGCCGGCATCGGCGTCTCAGCGAAACCAGGAGGAGCACATTGGATGGCTGGCGACATCGAGCGCCGCATCTCGATCGTCAAGCAGGTGATGAGGAAGCTTCGCCTACAATATCCCAAGCTGAGTCCCGAGACCGTGTTTTACATCTCGATTGCGGCGGCCAACAACATGGACAACATCAAGGGCTACACGCCGATGCAGTGGGCTTTCGGGTTTTCTCCGACCGAGGACCCTATCTTGGCGCACAACGCAGCTACCGGCAAGTTGAAGTCCGACTTCTTCGAGATCGAGCGGGTGCGAGCGGATGCGGAGGCCACCTACCTGAAGGAGAAGGCGTCCAGGAAGATCTCAGAGCTTAAGAACTCAGCCCCACGACCTCGACATGAATATAAACGAGGCGACTGGGTCTGTGTCTGGCGGTCGTATGCCGCGACAGGAAAACGAAAGCTCTCAGGACAGGACTTCTTCACGGACGGCTTGTTCATCGGACCGGGTCGGGTCTTGTTCTCCGAGCCGGCGGTTCAGACCGGCAACAAGGACGGCGTGATCTGGGTCATCATGGGCAACCGATGCTGGCGCTGCGCAGCTGAGCAGCTGCGGCCAGCCACGCAGTCGGAGATCGTCCAGATCAACCTGAAGAAGGACGACATCCTCAACAGTCCGCTCGAGGACGTCTGGAGGCACCTCCAGGACTTTGACGACATAGCCGGGGAGCCCTACCCAACGGCAGATGGCATGAGGATGCTACCGCGTCAACCTCTTGAAGGCATGCCGAGGGTGATCGAGAACCCCGATGTGGCCGTGGAACCCCACGACGTCACGGAGGCAGAGGACGACCAGGAGGTAGACGAGGACAACTCAGCACCAGAGCCACCACAGATCAAGCGAACAAGATTGAGAGGCAAGACGCCGACTGTGTCGTGGCCACCTGTTCCGACCGAGGCTTTCCAACCGCGTTTTGGGAGATCATCATCAAGAGCCTCAGCTGAAGTTGCTCACGCTGCCCTCTTCCAGGCGGCGAGCGACCACGCGGAAGCCAGCGAGATCGACATTATCAACTTCGTGCAGAATCCGAATAACGAGTCCGAGATGGACCTGATGAAGATCGAGATCGAGGCCGACCTTGAGGAGTTCTGCTTCGATGCGAGCGCGTACTTGGAGAAGCAGCTGAACCGCGTGGCCAACAACAACACGGTCAAGAAGGGCGTGGAGGTTTCGTTTGGCCGCCTGAGCCCCGAAGACAAGCCACTGTTCCAAGAGGCAATGGCACGGGAGCTGGCGGAACATCTGGAAGTACCGACAGTCTGGGCTGCATCTGCTTACGCTGACTACAATCATGGAAAAGATATCCCAGCTGACAAGCTGATCAAGATGAGGTGGCTACTGACCTGGAAGCCTCTGACGCCACCTGAACCGCCGGACAAGTCGGACCCACACCCCGTGAGCACGCCGGACGGGAAGTTCAAGGCGAAGGCCCGTATCATTCTGTTGGGCTTTTCACATCCGGACCTTGTCAGTCGAGACAAGTTCGGAGATCGGGTACTTCCTACGGCGTCGCCAACAATTTCAAGAAAAGGGAAGCTGGCACTCCTCCAGATGGCTGCTTTTCACGGCTGGACCTTCGAGCTAGCCGACGCGAAGTCTGCCTTCCTGCAGGCCGGGCACACTGAGGAGTGGAGGAAGCTCTATACCAAGGGCGTGAAGGAGCTTCGGCAGGCCTTGCAGATCAGCGAAGAGGAGTCCATGCGAGTCCTGGCGGCGATCTACGGGATCACGAATGCGCCGTGGGTCTTCTGGAAGTATGTGGACCACAAGATCCACGAGGCAGGAGGCAAGAGTGTCCTCATCGAGCCGTGCATCTGGATCATTCAGGATCAGGACGGCACCGTGTGCGGGGTCATCGGCTCGCACGTGGACGACTTCGGCATCGCGGGCGACAGCGACAACAAGTTCTACCTCGACATGAAGAACATGCTGAAGGAGATGCTGCGGTGGTCTCCATGGCGAACCACGCCGTGCATGTGGGCAGGCATGTGGATCACACAGGAGCCGTCGGGCAAGATCCATGCCAGCCAGGAGGAGTTCTGTCACCAGCTCCTCGAGATCAGGGTCGAGTCCGGCAAGTATCTCTCGAAGGATGACAAGCTCAAGCCGGAGGACGTCACCCAGTTCAGGGCGGGCCTGATGAAATGCCAGTGGAGAGCGACACAGACAGCACCGCAGTTCTCGTGCCGGGTATCACTGTTGGCTCAGCGGGTGAACGAGGCGACGTTCGGGGACCTGAAGGACACGAACGCCC